TGGGGCACTTCTGTTTGTTTGCAATTTTGCCATGTAGGCTATGTTTTTAAAAACTGCTTTTTGTTGGATATAGCCCAATTATATGGCGTGGACTTTTTTGTTTGTTTGCAATTTCGCCAGGTAGGCTACCTTCTTTGAACTGTGTTTTGTTAGACTACATATTTCGGGATGTTTTATTGTAGTCTTAGTAAATATGTGCATGCTATTCAAGCCTGCGTTACCAGCTGTTTTCCATTTAATCTGACGGCTAGTTTGATTAATATAGACTTATAATGCAATTCGTATGCAGGTGTTTGAAAACAAAATGAAAAAAGGACATTTATTGGAATCGTTGCTTGAGATAAACAGGTTTATACCATTAAATTAATACACATTATATATATAAGGCCTGCATGGCTACTTTGAGATCAAACACTATCAAAAACAGATGTGCTAATATGTTTAATAACAGTGTTTTTATTGCTTTTCATGTTTTTCTTATGCAAAACATCCTCCTGTGCTATTTCCCTCCACAGTCGAAAGTTTGAAACTATTCGATGCTTCTGATTGGTTATCCTGTCGCGTCTACATTTGCAGCCAATTCTGCTAATTATCTTGCCGGAGCGGTCTGAGTTTCTGTTGCAGGCAATGGCAGACAAGGAAAGGAATGCATTCCATTGCTGGAAATATAAAAAACATTTCCGATACATTACGGAAAAAGGCACAAATTTAACTGTGCAATGCAGTCCGTGTTTACCGGCTGTAAAGATGCTGTTGACATCTAAACAGTCCATGTCCAACCTAAGGAAACATCTAGAGGTAAGTGCAGCTTATTGTAACTGCAAACAGTCATGTTAAACAAAGCAGGGAAGACATGCCTACCTTCAGCGTGCCACACGTTCTTCTAAAGTGTAATGCCCGGTACACACTGTGTGATTTCAGCAATCATAAAATCATTACCGATCACACTATGTGTTACGGATCTAATAATCTTAGCTATGACAGGTATGCAGACTGTACAACGACAACACCAACTCAATCATAAGATATGGCGCATAGGACAACAAAACAAAATGTAAACACTGACAGCATGCGTAAACACCACAATGAATCACGAAGTGAGTACTGTACTTTAAAGCCACACTGGCACTTCTGATCCAGTTGACAGAAAATGTGCCGTCCTCTTTCAATATGCTAAGGTTATTGGTCTGTTATTAGCACTCCCGACATGCTATGTCGTATTGAGTTTTGAAAATTCACTAACTAGCTAACCACTGGGCGATGCAGCCTTACCACTCTGCTAACCCATTTTATTTTACAGTGCTGCGAAGACACTGATTTAGGCTACTCCGTGATTTGTGATTGGAAAAAATTTACTTAGACAGAGTAAGTGATTACACAATCAGCTGAAATTTCATATCCTGTCTGATGCAAGAACTGTTCAGATCAGAAGTAAAATGGAACCATTTATTTTCGCAAGTACATAAATTGTTTGTATCATAA